AGTTAATATAAGAAGAAACGTCTAGCTTCGCGGTCTCTCTCTCTCTCTCATTCGGATGCACGTCTTGCCGCATTGTTTCTCTCTTATAACCGCAATGTTTTTCACTAATAACCTAACTGAAGCAGCACATGCCCTTGATACGAATTCTAAAAGTGACGGATGTTTAACTGTCAGCTTGAGCTTTGAATCTGTGGCGGAAGGAAGTAGTTCCGCACAAAAGAGGACCTGGAAGGTACAATGTTTGCACAACAAATACATCAGTTGCATTAAATATTAGATTTACTTCTGACCAAAATCTCACACCTGTTTAGAATATGTATGTAGTGCTTTTCTTACAGATTTGTGCCACACATATATATATATATATATATATATATATATACAGTATATATGTGTATATATATATATATATATATATATATATATATATATATATGTATATGTATATGCACACTACTGGTCAGAAGTTTGTTTTTTCTTCTTTTTATGTTTCTAAAAAGTTTCTTTTGCATTTATGCTGCATTTATTTGATCAAAAATACAGTGAAAATAGTAATATTGTGAAATATTATTACAATGTAAAATATTTGTTTTCATTACATTTATCTTGGTTTAAGGATATTTAGATATTTATACTGGAAAATAAGACAAAAATATTAAAAGTCTGAAAAGTCTGCCTTCGTAGGCAGTTCACTAGGTTCACTATAGACCTGTATCGATGGGGAGAGAATGAGATTTTCTCTATCCTTTTTCCCTTTCATTCCTTTTTTTTTGCTGTGCTGAGAGATTTAAAGTTACTGGAGTGGTTAAACAAGGAGATTTTCTCTCATGTCCTTCCCTGGTTAGTATTCTCTGTCTCTCCTTTGCTCTGTCGCTCTCGCTCTCTCCAGCTCTCATGCTCATGCCCAGCTCTCTCGCTGTTGTTTTCCTCTTGAGCGGCGATCAAATAGAGCAGGCCTGCCTGATAATGAGACACACACACATGCACAAAAACACTTTTCACGGAAACTTTCCCTTTTACGCACAAACCGTTTATATCCCAGTCTGCTAGAAAATAAAAATGTCTTCCCATTGAAGGCCAAGCACACTCATACATGCATTTAGATCCCCAACACTGAGGATTTCTCCACAGAGAGCAGGCCATTTTTTTCCCCTCTGGTCTTGTGAATAGATTTTTCCTCTCTGCGCTCTGCTTCTAAACAGCGCAAATCACTGGGTCTCCCTGGGAGACGGGCTGCAAACAGCACTTGAGGAGGCAGTCGACTTGCTCAACAGCTGCTTTCAATTGCATGCAGCATCAGAACGCAGCACTCGTGTTTTAAGCAAGCAGCCCTCTGAGCTAGTCAGGGCTGCCTGCTTGTTTTTACACACAGCCACTTACTTGTCCTGCTCATTCTGTCCTGTCCTGATCTTTGTGTCTATCACTTTTGTTCTTTCATTCTAATCTTTTTCTCAGTCTCTTTATTTAGAGGACAAGTGGCTGAATCACAATGCCCACATTATATTATTTGAGGAACATTGTGTGTGTGTGTGTGTGTGTGTGTGTGTGTGTGACATTATTTTCATGACAGTTAAGAACTTTGTGTCAATTTTTTTTACAGTTTAAAATATTACAAGAAAGAATGCATTATTATTATTACTTGTAATGAATTTACTCAAAACAAACCCTCCAGCATGACACCATATCACAATGCTAATGTTTGCGGCATGTCTCAAAAAAAATTTTGCAAAATAATTTTTAATGACAATTAAACATTTTTTTGCCAGTTTCTATTTAATGTTATGGGGGAAAACTACTGTAATACATAAATGTCATACATAATGTAATACATAAATCATCCTGTGGGCAGATTTTTTTTATTAGTACTAAAAAATGTATGTACTTATTAAATTGCAGTAGGCTAGGAATTGCTTTTTTATATTAGTAATCTATTAGTAACGCAAAAAAAAATCTCTTTCTTATTACTGAAATTATATATTAGAGTGAAATCTATGAAATATATAGATCGGAAATTTCTTAGGGTTTTTTTTTTTTAGATTCATCCAAATGTATTATTTCACGTATTTAGTTAAGATTTTGCCTTGCAGTAATGCGAATTAGATTTTTGCATTAAAATAGACTATTAAGAATTGGACATTTCCTTAGTTTTTGTGAGATTCAGCCAAATTGTATAATTTTCATGTAAGCTCAGTCTCAGTTCTCTGCTCTGCAGTGCAGTAGACAGCTCAGTTGTTTATGAGAGTGTTCAAGTTTTGTCACTTTGAATAAATGAAGTGCCCAGTGGTAAAGAGCTCTTCACAACAGCGGGCCCTGCTTATCTGATTTCATGAGGTTTCCCTCAGTTTATTCAGTGACTGCACATATAGCGTCACGTATCTTAATATCAAATACTCTAAACAGTTTAATGATCAGTATTTGCTTTTTGTGAATGAAGATAAAATGCTTGTTTGTAAACCATTGCTCATGTCAAGCATGCATCTGATCAGTCTGTATGTAACTGCTCCATCTGCAGGGTGTCAAGGGAAACACGGGACCTTCCCACGCCAGTTCCACATGTCCAGTCGCAGTAAAGACTACGGTGATGGTAAGCTGTGCATTACCAGAACAATGTATGTGTAACTGTGCTATTTATAAATAAGAAAACAGTGACTGTATGTCATTAATTATTCTGAAATTATTTATGAACTTACAATTTTTTTTCATTTGAGACTTCACTGAGAGCTTAAATGTAAATCAAGTTGAATAAATAACCAAAGTTCATGATGCTGAAAAGAGTTGTAATCTATTGTTATTATTGTTTTGTCTATTATTTTTAAATAAATAATTGAATCTAATAAATAATATATTTAGTTATTTATTGTTATTATTTATTATAATTTGGTATATTTTCCTCCAAAATCATTTCTGAAAATGCAATGAAAGTTAGTTCTTTCTGTCTGGGCTTGGTGAATTTGTTCTAAACAAATGGTATGACATATGTTTTGTTTCTCTTTCATAATTACACGATTACGTTTTCACAAAGTAACAATGCAAGTCTGCATGAAAACTGGTGTTAAGAGCAAAAACTTCAGTCTGGAATTTGAAGCCTCTCTTCAATTCTCAGAGCGCCTAATTAGTAAATTAATTCTTTGGTTAATATTTAGTGGATGCTTTGTTATCCAAAGCAAGTCACAATTCGCTAATTGCATGCACCGTCCCTCTGGATCGTGTTAGTGTGAAGGGCATTGCTCAGTGGCATAGAACAGGACTGTGTTCTTGCTGATTCTCCTACTTGGAATCAAACATTCGTTTGCAGCCCAGATCCATAAATTGTTATACTGCCATGTCCAAAAAAAAAAAAAATGTAATTCATGCTGACGAGAATAGAAGACTAGTTTTGCTGATTTGATGCTGTTATACAGGTGCTGATATTTTCACCAGGGATATTACATATTCCATACATTACATGCAGTGCTGGAGGCAGATAAAGCTGTGGAGGCCAGCATGATTTGAGTTTCCCCAAATCTCAGGTGTATTAAAGACCTAGTGTATGTGTGTGTTTTATTTGTGTTTTCCCTGATGAGGCACACTGACTGTTGCAAAACTGTACTGAGAGGAGCTTCCTGCCTTGTGGAAAGGTTGATGAAGGAAGTGAGAGACTAAGGAAAAGAAGAGCGTGAGAGAATTAGGGAAAGGGAGGAAGATGTTTGGACATGTTGATTGCATGTGCCTTAAAGCATGAAGAGATTCAGAACATCTGAATTGTGCAAAGATTTACTCAGTTTATAGGGAATGTTATGTACTGTATGCATTTGGTAGACGCTTTTACTAAAACAGATTTGAGTGTTTTTAAGGTAATAATGTATCATGTGTGTTCCCTGGGAGTCAAACCTATGACCTTGATGTCGTTAGCGTGATTCTATAGGAATTTGAAAACCAACCTTGAAATGAAATGTGGACAAATGTATATTAAAGGTGAGAAACCTGGAAATATCAAGCACATTTAAAATGGCAATTTCCAAAAATAATAGAAATTAATTTTATATATAACTTTTTAAAGCAACTTAGATATAACTTTTTAATACAACTTTTATAAACTCTGTATACAGTAATTGAAAAAGGTGTATTTGTATTTTGTATCATGTGTGTCTAAAATATATATTTGTATCCAGGTCGAAGGACCTTCCCTCGAAGCTTTATGCCTCAAGAGAACATGTTTCAGCTGGTCCCGTCCAGCCGTACACGCAGCTATAATGGAGAAAGCACCTTGCTGTACAGTGGAGATCTGCGCTCCATCAGCTGGACTGAGAAAAACAGCCAACGCAACACTCCGAAATGTAAGAGCGCATACATGCATACACATGAGGACACTTATGCAGACCATTAGAAAAGAAAACCACATAAAGTACATTTGCACACTTGCCTTCAGAGCAGAAGTGTATGGTTGTAGCGTAACCTTTACGAATAGTCTCTCAATGCACAAATAGGGCTGCACTGCTTTCTATGTACCATCTGTTGCAGCTGAATCTGTAGCACCACAGCAAAATAAATCATATTTACCCTGAGTTGTCAGTGCGAGTTTGATGCTTAAATTGAATGTAGTATGATAAAAAAGACTGTAGCGCAAAAAAATAACATGATCAGTATAATCCAATTCACAAGGAAATTCTTTTGAACCAGTTCTTTTTCATAAATCAAATCAACACCACCAGTGTAATCTGATTCACAAGCAAATGACTCTTATGAACTGTTGTCTTTAGAGAATCAGAAGCATACAGCGAGACTAGTGTAGTCCGTTTGCGGAAACAAATTACTCTTATGAGCCGGTTCATTTCATGACTACAGTAGTCAACATTTGAAGTGGATCAAAAAAGTTCATCATAGTTGCCCTAAGACAAGAACGGGTATTGTTTTGGTTTTAGGACAACTTTGATGAAAGGTTTTGATCCACTTCAAATGTTGACTACTATAGATCTAAAGGATTTTGATTTCCATTTGAGTTAACGGTTTGAATCAGTCTAAAACACTTTCCTGTATAATATACAGCATTAGCGACAAGAAATTTGCTGAATTTAAGAATACGAGAGCGAAATGGACATTATAATTGAAGCATATTTAAATAAATTGGAATCTTTTAAATTAAAATTTAATCAAATCAGAGAATCTGTTACTAATCTCTTTCAGTTAGCTTTAATCATAGAGATAGAAACTATAATTATATACACATTGTTATTGTTCGATTTTGTTCATACGTCCCGCCTCTACTAGAGATGATGAATAAACCCAGCTCTGCATGGTTTGTGCTGTGCTTTTGTGTGTTTGAGCTCTGCAGTCTGCAAACAGGTTCTTTAATCAGCTCCATTTCCTCTGAGGAATCCAGGATGGGCGCCTGAATTTGACTTATGAACATGGATGCTCGTCTCTACTGTCTGCCTGCGGGTTCTTTCCCCCCCAATGCCTCCATAAACTATTCAGATAGCTTCATGTCAAATATCATTATAGGAACACTTAGCTGATTAAAACGATCGTAAATGCTGATGCAAATGTGTCCTGCATAGAATAAGTGGGAAATGAGTCTGAGAGGTGCGTAAATCTTGTCTGGTGAGTGGTATTTCTCAGACTTGGGTGTAGTTTAACTGCATCCAGATTTAAAGTTAATCTATCTATGATTAGATCCATATAGCATGTTTATAGAACAATAGCAGAAATATTGAATGCAGGCATTATTATGTGTGTGGCTCACGAGAGCGATCAGTCAGGAAAGAGCCAGATTCAGATATTGCCAAACTCAAGACGTTGTATTAGCATGTTAGAAAAAAAATCACACGACACGGCCTTGATTTAAAGAAGTAATATTCAGGTGTTTAATATTTAGTCCTGAATAACTTGCAGCGACTGCCAATAGTTCACTGTCCGCCTCTCCGTTCATTTAAATCCTAGTTTATTTCCTGAGAGGGGAACAGTTGCATAACTTAAATGATTTTAGCAAATGGCTGCAATATAACAAAGAGTGAAAAATTGAAGGGGGTCTGAATACTTTCCGTACCCACTGTAAATCTGAAAGTGTAAATCTGTATAGCATCCAGTTGTAAATACAGTTGCGGTTTGACTGTGAGTCGTCAGCGAGTCTGCAGTTTGCTGGTGAGGTTAACGTGGTTTGTTTCTTATTACCCTCAGCCCCAAGGGCTCCTGTAAACTGGCGTCAGGGGAAGCTGCTCGGTCGGGGAGCATTCGGCGAGGTCTTCCTTTGCTACGATGTTGACACGGGACGCGAGCTGGCAGCCAAGCAGGTGCCCTTTGACCCTGACTCTCAGGAGACCAGCAAGGTAAGTATGAAGTGAATTCAAATGGTGACAGTATTTATGCACTGTAGAGATGCTCTGCTCACTTTTCTCTTTGTCTCTCTCTGCAGGAAGTCAATGCACTGGAGTGTGAGATTCAGCTCTTAAAGAATCTGCGTCACAACCGTATAGTTCAGTACTACGGCTGCTTGCGTGATCCGGTGCAGAAAAAGCTGTCCATCTTTGTGGAATTCATGCCCGGGGTGTGTATACAGTTATGTTTGTATTTGCACTCTGTTGATGCAGCTCATTGGAGGGATTTGGAGATGTTTACTTTTAGAATGATTCAGCCCCTCAGTGTCTATTATCTATTTTGTTATATTAAAGGGGTCATATGATGCTTTTTTAAAGATCATTATTACTCAAAATAAAACTACTCCAGTAAAGTACAGATACTTTAAAAATTTACTTAAGTACAGTAACGAAGTAAAACTACTCCGTTACTGTCCACCACTGTTGGTTTTGAGACTTTAGTCTTTGCAACTTCAGGGATCTTATCTATGCACAATCAGCTTGTAACACTCCAAAGAGAAAGGAAAACTTGAAATCGCATCATATGACCCCTTTAAGTATTTTGTTTGTGTAAGTTAAAGTAGAATTCATGCATACTGTGGAAGTCTTTGGTTAAATTAACCAAACAACCACTTTTGCGTGGACTATTCTAGTACAAAAACATGCATCTTATTCACTGTCCATCAACACTCCAGTTTATGAACAAGTGACTCTCATGAACCGGTTCATTTTAGTGAATCAAAACAAATTGCCTGTCCAGTGTAGCCCAATTCGCGAACAAATGACTCTTATAAACTGGTTATTTTTAGAGAATCAAAACATACAGCATGACCAGAGTAGCCTGATTCACAAACAAAAGACTTGTATGAAACAGATGCTTTTAGTGAATCAAAACATACAACACATCCGGTGACCCCTAATTCAAGAACAAATGACCTGTATAAACCGGTTCATTTTGGTGAATCAAAACATACAGCATGAACAGTGTGGCCTGATTTAAACACACATTCGGTGATCCCTAATTCAAAAACAAATGACTCTTAGGAACGAGTTCCTTTTAGTGAATCAAAACATACAGCAAGACAAGTGTATTTTGATTAATGAAAAATTGATTCTTATGAACCAGTTCCTTTTAAAGAGTCAGTACATACAGCAAGATTGGTGTATCCTAATTAATTAATAAATGACTCTTATCAACCAGTTCTTTTTAGTAAATCAAAATATACAGCACAGATAGTGTGTCCTGATTCACAGACAAATGACTCTTATGAACCGGTTCTTCTTAGTGAATCAGAACTTATAGTGTGACCCTTTTACCCTGATTCTTGAGACAACTCTTATGAGCCGATTCTTGTAATGAAAAGTCAAGTTACCGTTTGAATCAATTTGAAACACTTCTATATTTAATTTACATTATTACTACATTTTTTTCTTTCATATGTAAGCAAAATCAACAAAAGAATCCATATCAAATCGAATTGAAATTGGAATCTAAACAAAACAAGAGCTGGTGAATCAGAATCAAATAGAATCAGGAAATGTGTATGTGTACCCTGCCTTATTTACTTTAGCGAATCAGGTGCTAAAAAACATAGATAGCATATGTGGAAAAAAATAAAAACAGCTGTCACTGGGCAAATTCTCGGTGTCTCTTTGTGTTTTAAGAAAATGACATTGTTAAACTTAATGAATCTACGCTTTCCAAATAATAAGCAAACCCACTCTAAAATGTCTCTGGCTCGCGAACATATCCACAGTGTTCTTTGTCAGCACAACCGCACGGCTTTACGAGTTCATTTTCTCTGCAAATGGGTGTCTTAACGAGCATCAGACGTGGTCTGTCCCATCCGTCAGCTCGATTTTAATATGCACAGACTCGCGGTGTCTTAGTCACATATTGTCTGGTAAAGGGGAATGTTTCACCAAGGTCTCTGGCAGACAGATGCATTGCTGCTCAGAGCCAAAGCCACCGGCCTCTGCCCGGCACTGCTGCGTCCTGATAAGAGCAGAGGTGAAGGGAACAGACAAAGAGAGAACGAGTTTGAATGAGTAGGATGTGGGATAGGGTTACGTGAGGTGAGAAATGCATTGCATAATGAGGGATCAGAAGATCGCTAGAGCCTGTAGGAGTGTATTACAGTAGGATTACATATGCGGTACACATTGTTTCGTTTTAATAACTTGAAAAGGACATTGTGATACTTCATAATACAAAATAATACTACTTAGAAGGAGCTGTGCAAATGTACTTTAGTTAGGAAGGCATTGTGGTTTCTCCTATTGTAGTTTGCGTCACAGGTGTTTCACGATGTTGTCCTTGAGGAGACATTGTTTCTTCGGTGAGGGGTGTAAACAGGAAAGCTGAGGAAATATGAACTTTGTTTGTGTCAGTGTTTCAAAGAAACACAGTCACATGTGAGAAATGTTTGGCACTATGATATGTTTTTCCAGAAAGTTAAAAAAAGTTCAGTGTTCTGACGAACGATATACTTCCAGCTCCACTTTTGTAAACACATCTGAGTGTGACTTCCTGACACACTGGTTTACAGCAAAGAATAATTACTCTTTGAAATATATATATAGTGCTGTGAAAAGGTATATCCGCTCTTCCAGATTTCCAGATTTAACTCATATCTACAGTGTAAAAAAACAGGATAGTATTATTACATAATTGTATTGTTAATATTATTTTATTTATAATGAATGATTCAATATTAAATGTTTTATTTATTACATTTTATATTTATTAAATATTATTAAGTATTTTGTAATATAATTAAAAGTAATAAAACATTGGTAACAGTAAGAGCAATAAATGTGTTATTTGAATAGATTTGGTATTTATTAATCTTTTTGAATGTTAGTTAATTTGATATAAAATTAAATAAAAAATATACAGTTGTTTATAGTTAGCTTGAGTCCATTAAATAATATTAACATACAACTTTTGATTTTAATAATGTTTTTGTAAATGTTGAAATTAACACACATTAAAATTAATACATATTTTTAAGCATTTTTTCATTGTTAATTCATGCTAATTAATGTAATTAGCATATGGAAGTAAAATAATGGAAAATTTATTTGAAATAAAAAAGCATGTTGAATTGCAATAATTGAAAAAATAATGCATTGCATTAACAGTGCTTGCATTTTAATGCATTTTATTTTCCGGGCTTGCATTTTTATGGGCCGAAATTCAACCTGGTTGTATATTTAAGCTGTGAATTTTCATAATTAAATATTAAATAATCCATATTTACCTTTAAGAGTTCACTTCCAAAATATTCAGTCTGTATAAAAATACAACCTATTATATTCGACGGGCAATTTTCAGTCCATTTCATTTTGCTTTACAAATTCGCTTCCACAAATTCAGCAGTTCAAATTCGACAGAATATTCAGCATTTCACATCTGGGAAACTGCTGGAATAGCGGTAGAGAACGCATGCATGATCTCCATCTGCTGTTAGTCGCTCACCAGCAGGTGTTGCAAGCGGGTGTTGATGAAGACCAAAGCAACAGGTAGAGCAAGTCATTCATTCACAAAAACGGAATTGCTGAAATGGAGCAAGCGGTAAGTATAAGTTATGATTATCAGGGCCAGAATATATGCAGACAAGATGATTAAGACACGAAAGCGGTGTTCAACGCCTTCACGGTTACTCTTTTCTCCATGTAGTTTACATGTTGCAGCTTTCTCTACACAAAGGAGATTATAAACATTCTCCCTGATGCTGATGTACAGATCAAACATCTGTGGAAGAAATATAATGCTCTCGGTTGTTTAGTTTCCTTAACTTTATATCATGATTTGTGTGACGCTTTGCTGTAGGTACTGGGGTTTCCCTCATATGTCATACTCCAGGATTCCCTACGTCACTTAACATAATGTATATATGTATTTTTAAACAGACTGAATATTTTGGAAGTGAACTCTCAAAGGTGAATATGGATTATTGAATTTTTAACAATGAAAATGTTTGTGAAATATTTTGAATTTAAATATTCACAATTCATATATACAACCAAGTTGAATTTCGGCCCCAAAAATGTAAGACCGGCAAATACAATGCATTAAAATGCAAGCACTGTTAATGCAATGTATTATTTTTTCACTTAGTGTAATTCAATATGCTTTTTTTATTTCAAATACATTTAACATTATTTTACTTCCATATTAGCAAATGTTAATAAATATAACCTTATTATAAATGTCTTGTGCTACCAAGACATTTAATATTTAATCATATTTAATATAATTTAATACACTTTTATATATTATAATAAAAAATTGAAACATATATTCTATTTGGTTATAGATAAAGTAAAAAAAATAAAAATAAATACACACAAGGGTAAGAAAAACTCCATAGTAACAGCACACCTCTTAAGCAACAAATATGAGTTGAACAACCAATTGTAATACTTTGTACTTGTTTCATAATACATGTTTAAATCCCTGCATACAGAATGAACAATAGAACAACAACAGAAATCAGGAAGGGGTCAAATCATTTTCCAATGCACTGTATCCTTTGGTAAACAGGTTTGAATCCTGTTTTTATGTTTCCTGTCAAAGCATATGCTGACAGCTTGTTTTTCAAGTTTCCTAATAAAAATACAAAGTCTTTGCAGTTCTTTCTGTTTTTGGGGAATAAAACACATGCTTACACTTTATGCATTGAATATGGTATCTGGCTTCAAGCGAGATTTCATATGTGTCCATGTGTGTCTAGGGCTCTATTAAAGACCAGCTGAAGGCTTACGGAGCACTGACAGAAAAAGTCACCCGCAGATACACCCGACAGATCCTACAGGGAGTCCACTATTTGCACAGCAACATGATCGTACACAGAGACATCAAAGGTAAATCGCAGTAGTCATAAATCACCTCCAGCTAAGAACAGTGGGCTGTTGCTTTGTAATGTAAATCTAAAGGAGAGTGTCACTTGCACCACACCACCTGAAATACATTCCTTCTTACTAGGTGAAATAACATTGGTCTGGCTCAGATTTGTGTTACTTCCTTTAGGTATTGCCAAAAATAGCGAGGGGGAAAGGTTTTGCATTCCTCCAGACTTCAGGGCTAAATTCTGACCAAAACTAACAGTCCATTAGGTATTTTTTAGCATTGATATTGAATGTCCTAAAATCATATTTACCTACCAGAAAATGTCAGCATTGCTTCTGCTAGACATGGACACTCTTTAATCACTCAGTTTATTAAGGAAGATGCGGGCCCAAAAACTGGACACTTAAAAATGTTCTGTATGAATGTCATTGCATTACATAAATTAAATAAAAATCGCAAACCAAGTGACATTTATTTTAATGAAACATGGCACAATCACTTTAAGTGGAACATTTCACAAAAATAATTTAAAAATTAGAATATTCAAAAATAAAATATATAAAATATTCAAAAATAGTATATGTTCAAAAATATTATTAGCATGTAATATTCAAAAATATTTAGTTAAATTTACAGATAAAAACGGCAGCTGTGGTTTCAAGAAATTCACAGTAAAAAAAAAAATGCAGCGGCAGTGTTTCAGATATTACAGGAGGGCATACGGTGCATGTATATTTTACAACTTATGACCGCATATTTCATTAAGTGATAATAATATTAATATACCAAGCTACTCAAAGTACCAAAATCTGCTTTTTACCTTAAATGACAGTTTATACCCACCATAATAACATAAATAATAAAATAGAAACAAAACTACTTATATAAAAGCTAATAATATGTGATGTGTCACATAGGGACTTTTACTTGTTTTTATTTGTTTAACTGATATGGTATAAAGTGTTTTACTGTAAAATGAAATATAATGCAGTGTTAAATTTTTTTTTATAGTTTTTCACTGTAGATGCTAAGTTAACTTACAGTTTACTATAAAATTTATTTTCCCTATAGAAATGTTTTTTATTTTTATTTTAGTAGAATTGATCATTTTTACAGTGATGATTATAGATGATGTAGTGTTCAAAATGTACAAAAAATTGGGAAAAATTGGTGGAACATGCTTAGTGTGATTCATTTAAAGTAATTGTAAAAATATTTCAGAAACGTTCAAGTAACGTTCCAGCAACATTCCATGCAAATAACATTTGCAAAACTGTCATCTAATACATTTACATTCAGACATTTTAAGTGTGTTCAAATACTTTTAAGCCCACATACTTTTTGCACACATGACCATTCCCATAACAAACCGAAGATCCTCTATTGGAAAGATCCACAAGAAATGTGGGCTCCAAAGGAAGGAGTCTCTGTCCTTCCTCTCGTATTCACAATACAGTCAGACATCCAGGGTGTGGAAATCTTGTGGCTGGCGGGAATTAGTCACTACTCAAACAAGCACAAATCTCACAGGCAACATAGCTAAAGCAATGGAAAATCATTCCGACTAGAAGCGTGGGAAGAAAGACTGTGTCTCAAACTTCAAACGCCATCAGCCATAAGCAGCTTAGAATTTTATGCAGTTGTCAACATTGGTCAGACAAACATCTCGGCCGGGGTAACTCAATCTACACGTGTTTCCGCACAGGCGCTAACATTTTGAGGGACTCCTCTGGAAATGTGAAGCTGGGAGATTTCGGGGCCAGCAAACGCATTCAGACTATCTGCATGTCCGGGACGGGAATCAAATCGGTCACCGGCACCCCCTACTGGATGAGCCCAGAAGTCATTAATGGAGAAGGCTACGGACGCAAAGCAGATATTTGGTGAGATCTGTTGCATCTTATGCATTATCTTAAAATCAATGTTATTTTAGTATCATTGAGATACTATTTCATTGAGTTTTAGTTAAAGGAGACATATTATGCCCCTTTTTACAATATATAATATAAGTCTCTGGTGTCCCCAGAATGTGTCTGTGAAGTTTCAGCTCAAAATACCCCACAGATCATTTATTATATTAATTTGAAAATGGCTATTTTGAGTGGAAGCAGAAACACGCTGTTTTTCGGGCCTGTCTCTTTAAATGCAAATGAGCTGCTGCTCCCCGCCTCCTTTTCGCCATTACAGCTCATACCTGCTAAAAAACCATCTGTTTTGGTTCTGATTATCATGTTTATCGCGCTGAAATCATGCGTTTTAAACCATATTAGTTCAAACTTCTGATAAACGTTTTCTGAGCGCACACATCCGAAGCACACGGACAGAAAGCGGCCACCACACAGCATGCGAGTACTAAACTAAGTTCTCATTCACACACAAGTTTACGTCAAAAACACACATGAGTTACAAAAACAGTCGGTTATGTCTGTGAAGGTAAACTGCTGGGAAATAAATTGCATGTTTATTTTAGATCTGTGTGGCAGCAGCAATATACAGTAAATAAATCAATAAATCCACTGCTCTCTTGTCTCCTCTGAGGCTGGGACTCTAAATAGTGTTCTGTGCTCGTCTGTGCAGCCAAAGACAGAACAGTTAGCATGTTTTGCTCAAACTTTCGCCATGGCATTAGAGCTGGTAAACCGTTGTCGCTTGCAAAAACACAATGACGCACTGTGGGTGTATTACATTTACAGATTAAGGGGTGGTAATATTATAATGAGACCCCTTTGCCACGTCACCAAGGGAGCCAAATCAGACGCGCTCGTTTTCTCAGTCACTTGCAGAAAAAGGCTTACCAAAGTTACTGGGTTAATCTTTTTCACGTTTCCTTGATTGGTAGATGCACCGGGGACATGATTTATAGCATTTAAAACCTGGAAAAGTCAGATTTTCATGATATATCACCTTTAACTATAATAACCCTGCCTAAAACTTGCATAAAATATGTGGATGGAAACAGCTAGCTAGCTTGTTAGCTAACAGTCCCTTACATCTCTCTCTCTCCTCAGGAGTGTTGCCTGCACGGTTGTAGAGATGCTAACCCAGAAGCCCCCGTGGGCTGAATATGAAGCAATGGCAGCCATTTTCAAGATCGCAACCCAGCCGACTAAGCCAAACCTGCCCGAGGGTGTGTCTGACGCATGCAGGGACTTCCTGCGGCAGATCTTTGTGGAAGAGAAATTGCGGCCCACTGCTGAGGGGCTTCTCAGCCACTCTTTTGTCCAAGGCAGCTTCTGATCCCACAGATCTTGGATCTCTCTGGAATCCCCAGGGAAAACCACACACCTGCCCGCGGACAATCACCACTCTGCCTTCCAGGGTCCGGAGAAACCCACCAACCAGCCAACTAAGAACAAACGTGACCACAACGAGGGGGTGTGTATCTCAGATCTCCCCAACGCAGCTTGAAAAATATCATAAGAGGGAACCTACGGACAGCAAAACCGTGATAGCATTTCCTATATTGTTAATCAAAGCCCTGTCCCAAATGACGCACTTGGCTTGAGACCGCAGGGTGTCCCATTTCTTATTTCCTGTGCTACGCACCCCTTTTGCTAAATGGACCCTTCTCACGTTTTCAGGGTTTCTCAGAAGCAGTTGTTGTCATAGTTGGGTAAACTTCTACAGCAAATATAATTTTGCGTTCCCGTTCCAAAAGCAAAAGCAAAAAAATCCATGATCGCATTTTCACAACTTTCCAAAAGAGAAAAAAAATATAGTGAGATTAATTATAGCACCCAGAAGAGAGAATGATGTCAAAATGTCAGCAGTGTTAATTATTATTTTGTAATTTACTGTCAAAGTAATATAACACAAATTATAGCACTATAAATGTATAAAAAAAATGAAAATATGACAAACTTTACTAGATTTGCGATGTCGATAACCATGGAAACGCGTCATCACAGTCTGAAAAGGGACCAATGTTTACAGCACACTATTACCCAACATTCCTTGTAACAAATGACATAAACTTTAAAGGGTGGTGAGAGCTAAGAGTGGATCGGTGACATAAACCTTTTTTTTTTTTTTTTTTGGAAAAATC